TCCATATGTAGCAAAATGAAATTAAACCCCTCTCTCTCACCCTTCATAAACAGCAACTCAAAAGTGGATAGAAGACTCAGGCACTAGAATAGAGACCCTGCGTGTAATAGAAGAAAAAGTAGATCCAAATCTCTATCATGCCAGCTTAGGAACTGACTTCCTTAACAAAAGACTCCTAAAGTGAAAGAAGAAAAATCAAGAATCAATAAGGGAGATGTGATCGAAATAAAAAGCTTCTTCATAGCAAAGGAAACAGTCAATGATGTGAAGAGAACCTACTGAATGGGAGAAAATATCACATGCACCTCAGATACAGCATTTATCTCCAGAACTCAAAAAACTTAACACTAAAACAAACAAATAATGCAATCAATAAATGAGCAAAGGAACTGGACACTTCACAGAAGAAGAAATACAACTGATCAACAAATATATGAAAAAATCTTCAACATCTCTAGCAATTATAGAAATGCAAATCAGAACTACACTGAAGTTCCATCTCACTCCAGTCAGAATGGCAATTATCAAGAATACAAAAAACAATTAATGTTGGTGAGGATTTGGGGAAAAAGGCACACTCATACATTGCTGGTGGGACTGCAAATTGGTGCAATGACTCTAAAAAGCAGTAAGGAGATTCCTCAGAAAACTTGGAATGGAACCACCATTTGACCCAGTCATCCCATTCCTAGGTTTATACACAAAGAACTTAAAATCAGCAAACTGCAATGACGCAGCCACATCAATGTTTATAGTAGCTCAATTCATAACAGCTAAACTCTGTAACCAAAGTAGATATCCTTCAACAGATGAATGAATAAAGAAACTGTGGTATATATACACAATGTAATATTACTCAGCCTTAAAGAATGAAACTATGGCATTTGCCGATAAATGGATGGAACTGGAGAATATTATGCTAAGCAAAATAAGCCAATCGGGCTGGGGATGTGGCTCAAGTGGTAGCGCGCTCGCCTGGCATGCGAGCGGCCCAGGTTCGATCCTCAGCACCACATACAAACAAAGGTGTTGTGTCCGCCAAGAAATGGAAAATAAATATTTAAAAAATTTTCTCTCTCTCTCTCTTTAAAAAAAAAAATTAAGCCAATCCCAAAGAACCAAAAGCCAAATGTTTTCTCTGATATGCGGATGCTAATTTACAATGGTGGGGCGATGGGGTGGGGTGGAGAATAGTTGGACTAACAGAGAGGAGTGAAGGGAGTGGAGGGTGACATGGGAGAAGGAATAAGAGTAAAACGAATTGGACATTATTATCCTATATGCATATATGATTACATGACTTGTGTACTCCATATCATGTACAGTCTGGCAAATGAGAAGTTATACTCCAAAGGAGAGCAAAAAAACAAAATTTTAAACCTCAGAAACAGATGATAAGTACTTTACAGGCAAATGAGAACTTAAAAGCCTAGAGACACTGAGAGGCTGCTTTCCCTTGTAGAGTTCCTTAAGAAATGAAGGATCCAGCTGCTCTTGAAAGTTGTATTATAAATAGGATGGACTGATTGAAATTTGGTTTAAAAAGCATTTAGATTTCCTTTGCTCTACCTTCTTTCCCCTCCCATACACATCAGCAGAAAAGGCTTCAGAGGTCAAACCTGAGATATCCTGTGCACAAAAAGAAGAGCACAATGGAAGAAAGGGTGATTCAAGGTCTCTTCTTCTGAACTCAGCTGTGAACAAAATAGCAGCCAAGCTCTGAACTGCCTAGCAGAAGAAATGCAGCTAGCAGAGAATGAAACCCATCAGCCAAAAGCTCATCCTGTGCCCACAGATTCCAATGTGTTTTAAAATAGGAACGTGTAACAAAGGATTACCCATTATTTGAGAAAAGCCTCCAGTATCAGAGACCTACAGTATCAGAGACAAACAAAAGGGGAATGAGGCAATAAAGGGAGCAGAAGAAAACTCCAAAGTAACTGAAACAAAACAATCAGGGAGAGAATAAGTTATTGAAATACATAAAAGAAATATAGGAGATGACAGAAAATTCAGAAAAAAATTTTTAAAGATGAATAAGTAAATAGAATATTTTGAAGACAAATTAAGAACATCCTGAAATGGTATGATAAAAAAGACTAAGAGATGAACAGTAGGGAAGAAAAGAAAAAAAGAGATTAAATATAGGAGGTTCAGTATCTGAATAATAGTTTGGTGTGGTGATGCATGCCTGTAATCTCAGTGCCTTGGGAGGCTGAAGCAGGAGGATCACAAGTTTGAGGCCAGTTTCAGCAACTTAGTGAGGCTTTAACTAATTTTGTGAGACCCTGTCTCAAAATAAAAAATAAAAAGGTTTGGGGATATAGCTCAGTGGTAAAGCACCCCTTGGTGCAATCACCAGCACTCCCCCTACAAAAGAAATCTGAATGGAAATTCTAGAAACACTAGGGAGGGCCGGGTGTGGTGACACATGACTCTAATATCAGCAGCTCTGGAGGCTGAGCCAGGAGGATTGCAAGTTCAAAGCCAGCCTCAGCAACAGCAAGGCTCTAAGCAACTCAGTGACACTCTGTCTCTAAATAAAATACAAAATGGGGCTGGGGATGTGGCTCAGTAGCTGAGTGCCCCTGAGTTGAATCCCTGGTATCTACCCCCCCTCAAAAAAATAGGCAGAAAATCAAAACAAACAAAACAAAAGCAAAAAGAAAAGAATCTCTCAAAGAAATAATAATTTAAAAAAATGGATGCCATGAGTTTTTAGAGTAAAAGAACTAGTGAGGGCCCAGAACAGACATTGAATAAAAGACCTCTATCAAGTACATCACTTTGAAATTCTGGAATAATAGGGACAAAAGAAGATTCTACTCAAGTGAGATTCTACTCAAGTGAGAAAACCAGGTGAGGAGTGAGATTGACATCTGATTTATCAAGAATGACACTGAAAGCTGGAAGATAATGGTGCAATGCTTTCAAAATTCTGAGGGAAGTTTTTCTATTTTCAATTTCTATTCTGGACAGACAGTTACCCAAACATGAGGGGAGAATAAAGCCATTTTCAAGGCATACAACTCAAAAATTTATTTATTATGCAAACTTGACCTGGCAGATAGAGAGGGAGGTCTTGAAATGACAGCTCTGTACCAGGCCTCTCCCATCTAAAGTGTAACAACCGTTTTAGAAGGGAATTCTAAAATGTTAAAATGTATTAACAATATGTGTCTAGTTTTGGCAATAAGTCTAGAATAAATTAATGATAGGTAAGTGAAAGGTATATAAAATCAAGTAAACTGAAAAGGAGAACATTATTAATTTTAGGGAAAGTTAAGATGTAAAAGGAAGAAAACATAATAATTTTTAAAACTATAATAACTGATTTAACTAAAATTATGCTGAAAGGATGGGGAAAGGGAAGCATGGATCTGTATTTTTAGAGGCGGGGCCTTGCCTGAGAGTGCCAAATTTTTATTTAATATTGTAGGAAGTCAACAGTAATCTGAGAATTAGAATAAAAATATTAGAATAAGTATATTATCTTGAAATGTTAATAGTAGATACCTATAGACACTGCTAAAAGATATCAATGCCATTGCCTCTGAGGAGCAGAGATGAGGATAGGCTGGATAAAGGAATTTTGAAAAAGGACTTTAGAACTCTTTGACTTGTAAAACATGCACATACAACTTGAACACAATTAAAGTATTATTCTATTCAGTGAAAGTATGTTTTGAACACAAATAGTAGCAGAGTATATTTACTGTGCTCCCATAAAAATATCCTGTAGATCTTGTCATTATCAACACTATAAATGAAACTCCTACTTTTTAAAATAGTTACATATGATTTCATTAACTATATATATTTATTGGCATGTAAATTTATAAATGTACATATTGGGATATTATAGTTTCAGAAGTGAAAATCTAGCAAAATTTTGAGGTATTTCTATATTGTCCTCTAAAGATATTGCGCCCAAACTTATAGCCTCATTACCAATGTTTGAGAGGCCTGAACTGTCCTACATACTCACTATATCTTATAAAACTATCTTTGCATTTGGAATGTGAAAGTACATATTGTTGTTTTAACATGCACTTGTTTAAATTTATTTTCCAAAAACTGTCTACTCCATTACAATTTTGAAAATCTATCCTTATTCAGATCCCGACACCATTCTTGTTTTTTACTATTCTATTTTTCATTAGCACTTATCCCTCTCTTCTTTCAAAAAGTTGGGTAAAATTTATCCTTCCCAGAAAATTTTGTGTTTTACTTTCTCTGAGCACTGTATATTCATATGCACATATCACAATTACAGGTATATTTCTATTTTCAAATCATGTACCAAAAATATTGATTGTGATATAAAGATAATTACAAATACAATACTTCATAGAATTCAACATATGACACTGCATGATAAACTATTATTCCATGAGCTACTAATAAAGTAAAATTCTATAAAGAAAATCAACACAACCCTTTCTTATCATTTAGAATTTTTATTGTATATTTGCTGAATTTTATACAATACATATTTTTCACATCATTTGAGAATAAAAGAAATGTGCTTTTCAAAATGTTAATTTACTAAATGGCTATAAGAAACATATGGGAACTAATGCATTTTGAAAAATGATAAATTTCCAGGTGTAAGATGATGCCTACAAAATACCAACAATAGTAAAATGGGCTTCTGTAGTTTTGGTTGAATTACTTTAAGCCACTTAAATAATGAGTTCTGTGTAGCAAAACGAATAAGCTATTAGATAACATGTAAACTTTCTGAAAAGACTTCTGGTAATAATAACCATAATTCTATAATATAGGAATTATTTTGATATAATTTGTAAGTCTTTATGGGTCTGTGATTTACATCCCTACAATGATGTTGATGAGATCAATTTTATAGGCATGTTTTACCACAGAGGAAAGTACAATATCAGTGTAGGTTTGGTAACCCATGAAGATTTCCAAAGTTTGTAGGTGACATTTTCAAAAAAAAATTAGACCACAGATATACATAAAAGCAAACTACAATGTTTCTTGATTCAAGGACAGGTATATTTATTTTAAGATAATACAAGAATGTAAGACAGGTTGCTTTTCCATTGTAATTTATAATAAGGACAATTAATTGGAATTTAAGTTAAATGAATTTCTTATTATGAAATGATTCTGAGAAGTACATTAAATCATTTGTCACATAAGCTTTCTGTAAAAAGTAGTCATAGTACAATTTTATGTATAGCTTAATCTTTTCAAAGAAAAGTTTACAGAATACTGAAAATAACAACATACAAGTACATTATTTTCAAAGCATTTAAAAATATTTAAATTGGTGTAAACAAAAATCCAGTGAGATATTTTTACCTCCTATATTACAGATAATAAAGTTCAAGTAAATCACTGTAATTTACTATGCTCTTTCCATTTAAATTGATTAGGATGTTTTATTTATTCCCATTTTAATATTTTGTTGCAGACTTGTAAGCAGATACTCATCCATTCACTCTGACAAACAATAAATAATAACTATGTGTATATAGTACAGTGTTCTTCATTGGGAGAATGAAGGCTAACAAAGGATATTAAATGGGCTAATTTGATTTTATAATATTTCCCATGTATACAAGATAATATAACTTAGAGCCAAAAGTTACATCACGTTTTTCCATTACGTTAGATAACAGATAATACTATGAATAATCAATGCAAAGTACAGTAGATAGATAACCTTGAAAGCAGGTTACATATGGGGTTCTTAAAATTAAGCATCTATTTTTCTATATTGGCATAATAAATAATATAAGATAAAGAATGTAAAAAGTCTAACAAACACAAAATCAATTCCAACAGTAACACTTTCTTGGAAATAACATTACTTTTATAAATAAGCTAATGCAGATCAATTTCACATTTTATAACTTGTAAAAAAGTCAGTGTCTTCTATTTTCATATGTAAAAGCAGGGTAATAGTTGGAGTGTATATAACAATTAATTATCTTAGGAAGATAAATGAACATATCTTCCACATGCAACATATAAATATATTAGCTTAAATTCATTGTACGACTTTTGTATAGTATCCTTGTAAAAACTAAATGTTTCTAATTAAAGATTTCTATTTAGTACTATCAAATTATTTCTCTATGTTAAAACCTAATTTGTGATTTTTCAGTAGAAAGTTTTTGTTTTCCCTTTTAAGACATATTATTTTGAATAATGAATTATATTTAGAGTATTACTGGCATCACTTTTGTATGTGGTCCTTTCACAAGAAATAATATTAGCTTCTATTTAAATATACATCAGTCTTCTAATTTTGCTAGCTTTTTATAATACCCATTTTGATGCTGGACATAATTAAGAATATGCAATAAGTCACAGAGCTGTAAGATGTTATTTTACTCGTGTTTTAACATATGCTACCTGCAATAAGAATCAGCATCAACTTTCAAACAATAATGATAGCGACTACTATCACAAGTGTCCCTGCTTCTAACCATCAATGTATGCCTTTATTTCATTATTGTTTTGAGAAAAAAAATTTATAGTTAAAATTTCTTTACTATATACATAGAAGAATATCAGACATTCTGTTGGCTTTGGTAAGTGAACAACAAAAAGTCAAACACAAGTCAAACAATATATGTTACTTAAGTACTTTTAAAATTTAAAAGTACAATGTAAACCATCATACTATTTGTCAGCTTAATTTCTACTTGTTTTCCAAAATAATTTCAATATAATTAAAAAACCTGATAAATAAAAAGGATTTAAAAACAATTAATTCTAAGGGCTCTAAGATAATTCTGAAGCAATACTCATTTTCTGAAAATAACTTCACAGTCCAAAACCAAAAACAAATATGTTGACCATTTTTATATGATCTGTGTTCTATGAGTCATAAATTATTTTAAAATAAGGAAAATTCCTAATAAATAAAAATATTTTAAATATATTATTATATCATCAGTGGAAGTATGCATATACTTCTGAAGGGAATGAAAAAGTGCAGAGTTCAATAAATCAAGGCAAAAGGTCAACTTGATTATATATAACATCTGTAGGAAGAAGATGCATTTCATCTCTTTTATGTTTAAGAATTCAGTTCAAGAAAAATATATAAATTCCATAGCATTTCACCTTTCCTTTTCTTCATGTTCTGATTTCAGCCTTGTTTCCACTCTCAGAAATTTTGTTTCTTGCATTTGTCATATAAACAGTAATCCATTAATATTTGCTTTAGGAATATCTACTTAAAAAAACACAATAATAAAGCAATATTTACTTAGGATATGACTGAGACGTGATGGCATTAATCAAAATTCTTATGAAAATTATGTGAAAAAGTAAGGCATTCAAAAACATTCCATGTAAAATAGTAAGCAGACTTAACTTAATTAAAATTTTTTTCTTTAATTTTGAAGTTCAGTGTTTCATTAGGAATTTACCTAGGAAGGTCTAGGAAGAGAAAGCAATTTCTAGCTATGGATCGTGTGATGTTATTACAAATTGGTTAGGAACACTACCTATTATGGATGTCTAAATGAATAGTCCTACTTATTTAAATACATGTTTTGTTTAAATTCTCAAAGGCAGTATAAGCTTCCTTAAAATAGAGATTAGGAAAATCTTCTTTGATTATCTGGATCACAATAGTTAAACCTTAGACAAGTAAATACTTGCTTCTAAACATTTTAGACCAGTATTTCCCAAAGTGGATTCCCAAAACACTAGGTCTCAAAGCTACTTTGCAAAATGTTGATAACTGCAATTTACTTTGAAAGACAAAAATGAACAGCAGCATATTAGGATCTAATAAATTCTATGGGGAAGGAACCTATTTAACCATTTTTATCATAAAACTTGACTATGCAGCCTTTTTTTTTTTAAGAAAAATATGCAGTGATATATACTCAGGAAACAGTTTAGGAAACAACTGCTGTAGACATATATGAATGTTTCAAGCCTGAAGAAAACAACAAGCAACAGGCACATAAATATACTTATTTACAAAAACAATCAAATTTCTATTGTGGAAATCTAATTAATCAGAACTCACAAACTGTATAGCTATAGTTGACTTTGAAAAGAAAAAAGGAAAAACATAACCTTCATTTTGAAGATTAGTAAGTTTGAGATAGTTCTTTGGATCATTACAAATGGAACAGATATCCTGATCTTTACTCAATTATTACAATCCATGGTGATAGTATAAAGAGTAAATAGCATAGTTTTGACAGAAAAACCTGAAGCTCAAATTCTGATTTGTCACTTAGTAGCAAATTAACTTGGGCAAGTTACTTGTGAACTCTTGTTTTTCTCTGGTGTTAAATTGGATATCTATTTGAAAGAATTAAATGAGATACTACATGTGGAAGAACACTGAGTAGTGCTACACACCTTAAGTAATTCTAAAAACAAATCTAAGTTGTAGAAGAAGTTCAGAATCATGATCTCAAAATACAGTAATAAATACTCTTTAGGAGCTAATAATCCTAGATTACAAACATATGATTTAAATCATTATGTTGTATCTGTTCAGGTGAAAAACTATTTTAAGTTTAACGTAAGAATTTTAAAACACTCTAATGGCCTAAAAATACATTATAATTGTGTTTCTCTCAGCTATTTTTTCTTTTTTCTTTTTCCCGTATGGTGCTAGGGATCTAACCTAGGTCTTATAAATGCTGTACACATGCTCAACCACTGAGCTATACCTTTAGCCCTTTTTCAGCTATTTTTAAATGTTATAAAAGAAAAATAACAATTATTCCTTTGTTGTTATTGAAAAAATTTAGATAAACAGATAACATACTTATCTACTATGAAGTTCTTTTTTTAGGCAGGATTTGAAAGTGGAATACTTCTGTACTGTTTTATAGCCCTGTGGAAGAGAGAATCAAACGTTCATAAAGAAAAATTCAGCCTAATTTAATTTACATGTGGAATCTAAAAATGTTAAACTCATATAAGAAGAGTAGAATGGTGGTTAGCAGGTGCTGAGAAGGCTGCAGGATATGGAAAGAAGTTTTCCAAAGGGTACAATGATCCAGTTAGACAAGAGTAATGAATTTTCAAGATAAATTGCACAGAAAGGTGACCAATGTTAAAAATTATGTATTGTATATTTCAAAATTGCTGAAAAATACATTTAAAAATGTTCTCACTACAAAATAATAAATATGTGAGGTGAAAGATATATTAATTAACTTGATATAATTATCTACAATGTATTCAAATATTAAACAACATTGTACCCCCCAAAATATATACAATTGGTATCTGTCAATTAAAAACAAACTAAAAAAATTTGAGCAAATATTAATAAAAGCCAAAGGGAACCACAGGAATGTAATATACACACACAAAAAATTAATGCTTAAGGTAGAAATAGTGTAAAAGGATAATAGCATAGTTTATGTTTATTTATTTGGTTTTCTTTCTCTAAATTTTTTGCAGAAAAATTAGAGAGATTTTCAATATATGTCCTTACCCTGTTTGTAGCATGAACTGAAATATTAAAATCTAACCACTAGGTGGCAGTTAAGTACACAGCATGTTTATAAAGATGGCTTTACTTTCTATCTTTCTTTTTCCTTGTATTTTTTTTTAGTTGTTGATGGACCTTTTATTTATTTGTATGTGGTTCTAGGATAGAGCCCAGCACACATGTACTAGGCAAGCACTTTACCACTGTGCTACAATCCTAGCCTGATAGCTTAGTTTTAATGTCATTATATAATTTAAGGCATAAAAAAACATAATCTAAGATAAATCTTGATATTTTTTCTATATGTAGGTAGCTTTTTCTATTTTAAAAATCACAGTACTTAGGGATATTCTTGCTAAAGAGGGAAGACTGAATATACTAGCTGTTAATTTTAGTAGAAAAAATTTTTGTTTTCCATTTGTGGTGCATCCATAAATATGTTGGATGTATATACATTTATTGGCTCATGCTATGTCTCAAGCTCTAAAGCATGGTTCTTAGAAAAACAATCACTGAATATTTAGCAATTAACTTTTAATATGTCAACAAGAAAAAATAGTTAAACGGATAAAAATTGTTTGAAATTTATTTCCATATAAACAGTAATGAATATGTAGTGACTTAAAAGCCTCAAGATACCTAGAGGAAATATTTCTCATATAAAAGAAAAAGTAGAGGTATAATTGTATATTAACAAGTCTAAAAAGCCAATGTGCAAACTGAATTTTTCAAAAATTTTGGCAATACTTCACCCCAAATAAAGACATTAAATTAATTGTATATGAAAATAAATTATTAGAAAATTATTGAAAAAGCATGAAATTTTTTTTAGGTGTAAAATTGTTTTTGCTTAAGTATGGAAGGCCTATGGTTTTTCTTTGCAAAGAGAGCTTTATGCTTAAATTGTTAAATATGTAAGTTGTTTAAATATGTAAGTTGAACTTATTATTCCCCCCCCTCAGATTTTAAAAAGGATATAAATAGACTTGAAATTTGTAGGTTTACCCGGAATCCTCTATGGAGTCTGTCCTTCATAATCCCAATAAATTCTTTATAACTTAATTGATCATCTTTGTCAACATCAAAAATCTTGAAGACAGTATTCACTAAATGTGGTGAAAGTTTGAGTCCAGTAGCTACGTACACAGCACGTTTAAATTCATCTAGATAAATGTCATAAAAAATGAAAAAAAGTAGATCATTAACATTACTTTTTTTAGTATGTGTTAATTACTGTGGAAAGGTTGTAAAAGAAGCTGTTTTCTAAACAGGTCATAATCTACTTATATAACACAGGACTTTTCATTAATCCTGTTGTCTTTTAGGGAACAAGAAGATATTTTGTGGTTTTAATGAAAGAGCAAGAAGCAGTTAGTTGTGTATTTTATATTAATAATGTCATAATTAGTGCATGTTTAATGAGCATCAGTGACAGTTCCTTTAAGTTCTGAGGAAAGAGCTCAGATAGGAGATGAGACACTTGCCCAAAAAACCATTACACAGGGCCACATAAAAAGTACCAACAAAGTACAATGAGAATCTGAAATGAGTGAGTACTTCTGTCTGCAGAGTGGAGTAGATGGGGAAGAGAAAGGCAGTGATTTGGAAAGGCTGTGATTTTGTATTTGAACTAAGCCTTTAAGGGTGGATGATTTCAGCTTGTAGGGATCAGAGAATGACAGATGACATGATGTAAATGAAAAAAGGCATGGGTGCAGATGGGAGAAGCATAAAGCAAGTTCAGAAAATAGTGAACAGTCTGGTTGGGTGAGCACAAGGAAAATAAAGGATTTGAAGGAACTCTGCACAGATTGTAAGGTGAAGAACCTGCACATTCTCCAACAGGTGATTTTGAAATTCAGGAGTTTTCTATAGTTGTTGTATCATAGAATGGTTAATTGATGTTTTAGGAAGATTCTTCTTGAGTTGTCTAGGAAACATCAGAAAGTAAAGTAGCTAATGGCAGAAATGACACAGAGGTGGCTCATACAATAGTCCTTTTAAGATGTAAACTCCCAAATTAAGATGCTAGTAATAACAAAAGAACGAAACAGATATATTCCTAGCTCTCACAAAAGCACTACAATTTTTTTCCATTTCCCTAGTTCCACCAAGTAGAAGAACGACTTTCTATTCTGAATTAAGTAAACTGATACTGATTTAAAAATATTTTGGTAGTAAAGGCTGTCTGTGAAAGCATGGCTTCCCAAAATTTTGGTTTTAAAACACTACATTAGGCTGAGATGAAGTCAACATCATGAACATATCAATTTCTTTGAATGTTGTAGACTAGAAAATGGAAGAAATACAAAATTTTTTCAGGTTTCTCTTAGTCAATGAATAAATAAATGAGACCTTATAATGGATCTATGGATGTTAGTTTTGTTTGATGCTGGGGGTCAAAACCAAGTCCTTACTGATCCATACCCCTAATCCCTTTATGTTTTTGAGAGAGATGATTATCATCATCACTTAGGAAGTTCAGGTTGGCTTCTCCTTGGAATTGAACAGTAAAAAAACCCAAGAATACCCCCTGAGATATAATAAGATTGTGAATTAACACAGATTATGGCAGAGACATTATAGTAAAATCTTCTTAATAGATATAAACAGAAAGTCCTCCTATGGCAAGAATTTTATAAAAAGACATGTCCTTGAGGGGAGGGAAGGTGATGGTCACTGTCACAGAATTCTAGTAAAAGAACTTGGCTTCTTAGCCAAACAATAGTGTTGGAACAAGTGAGCGGGTCCTGAGGACTATAGAATTCTGAATTCTATTTTAGTTGTATTTGTGTATAAATGAAGCAAAATTGATAATATAATTTTATACACAATTCTTAAAAGTCAGTTAATGTAAATTCATGGCTAAGACATGGCTCTGCTGATATATTTCTGGGTTTTCAGCCAGCAGGTATTAAATAAATAACATCCTTTGAGAATGTCTGAGACATGGCCAGCTGGCTCTTCCATAGGTAGACACATGTCCTTCAATGTCATCAAGTGGTCAAGAGGCGGCTTCTTTGAATGTTTTTACAAACATTGTTTTCCCATATATGAAATTAAGAGCAAAAAGAAATTCAACAAAAAATTTATCTCATTTACCCTAAACTCATTTAATTTTCTTTAAAGTGTCAGTCACTTCTCACTGAAAGTGTAAATCAGACTTTCAGGCAAGTTGATGATAATACCGTATATCTAGTTGACATTTTGCTAAAGTCTCTAGGTACAGTATATGTTTTGCTTTAAATGTTTGAAGGGTTATTACTTACCTTGTCCTATAGAGCGACTTGCAAAGTTATACATATTAAGGGCTATTGCAAAGTCTTCTAAGTTATTCAGAAACTGGAAAAATGATCTGAATTCATCAAATGTGATGCCCTATTTTGAAAAAAATAAATATAAATGTAATCAGTAGTGTCAAATTGATTAAAATAACTATCTACACTTAATACAAGTAAACAAATTAATCTTCAATTTATCTTGAAAATAAACATTTCCAGAGCACATGTTGAAACTATTTTTCTCCAAATGGAATCTAAGATTCATTCAGACTTATTTTCACTGGGTAGTGTTTCTACCCTTACAATAATAATGAATGTGTTTTAAACACTGTCATATAAGCTCAAAGCTTCAAACAATGCTACAATAAAAAATGAATTAAAAAGTTTCAATTTTGAAAACCCTTTACATAAAGCTCATTTTTAACCCTTAAAAAATGGTAATTAAAAAACATAAGAAATAGTTTCCTTTGCACATGTACTCCTTTAAATATGATTCAGCATTCAATGTCAATGTCTTTAGAATGACCATGCAAAATCAAAATGTTGACCAAAAGTCAACAGTAGTCTATTTGAACTTGTCATGATAATGCTACCAAGACAGCAGGAGGAAGTTAATGACTGAACAGATACAGCATTGGCAGGCCCAACACAGGCCTCAGGGTAGGATCGTGTAAAGGAGTGGTGTTAAGAGTGGCTTCTTCTTGAATGTACAATTGCTACCACTGATATTATGGCAGTTAAATAGAAAGGTTATTGGAAATAAGTACAATGTATCTCAGAGAGTACAAACTGGGACAGGAACTGAATTTCAGTTAATGAATTCTCAACAAAATTAACATAAATGAAAAAGTATACAGAGAAAAGAAAAGAGGAGCAAGAGCTGAGACTTAACAAATTCTGACTTTAATGTGGGGGTAAAAGACAAAGGGACACTAAAGAGGCAGTGCTGGAAAGCTAGGCAAAGAACCAGAGGAGTGTATTTTCATGTATTAGCTTACTACTGATTAAATGACTTATCACCAAAATATCCAATTTTTGGTATACATTATTTCCAATTCAATTATAACCCCTCTTTTACTTGCAATATGAAAATCCTCATTGTATTGCATACTTTTGTCTTTTTCTTGCATTTATTTATGGCTACTCCAATCCTGGATCCTACTTTGTGACATGATCCTATCTGCCATTTCTTCTAGAGAGGGCAGTTAGAATTAGTTAGGAAGACTGTACCAGAAGGAAATATCTTGATGAGGACAGCTTGCTGTCAGGGAAAACAATCAGTGCTTTGGTTCTGTACTACTTTATACTGTGACCAGCAGTCACAGCAGCAGTCTTTGTCTCAAGATGTCAAATTACAAGTAAAAAACCCCCAGAAAGATGGGATATCTTTAAGCAAAGGAGTAGCACAAATATCAATACATTTTTTTTTTTTGGGGTGTCGGGGATTGAACCCAGGGGCACTTTACCACTGAGCTACCCTTTTTCTTTTTTCTTTTAAGACAGGGTTTCACTAAGCTGCATAGGGCCTAACTAAACTGCTGAGGTTGGCCTTCAACCTGCAATTCTCCTCAGTCTCCTGAGTTAAAAATATCAATACTTTTGAGGAAAATGAATTTAAGAAACAAATCAAAGAATGACAGACTACAATGTCAACATTTGAATCTAGATTTTTCAAAATATGATTCTCAAAGTTTGGAAAGACAGATCAAAGTAAAAACCACACAATAATTCTCTTGTACAGATTAAACACTTTGCTTGAAAATATGAAACTGTAAAATAAAAAGTGGGACATTTATTTTTAAGAAGGTAATTTGAAACAACCATCTTTAACAGCAGTAAGGGACATATAGTCTGGGTAAGAGGCCAAGAGAAGAGAAGTGGCCTATTTTTGCCTTCCCATCCTTATCCCCAGAATAGAATATATCCATGAACTGTTAGAGGTAAGATGAAAGGAAATGGTTTACAGGCTAACAAAAATCAAACAATGATAATAAGTAAAAAACTCAAATCATCAAAATGCATCCACTGAAAGTATAGACATAAAATATCTAAGTATCTATGTCAATTGTCAGCAGGGTACCCATAACCATTTACTGGAGAAGAAACTATTTTTTTTTCAAAATATTTGCTGGGATAACTAGATATTTCATATGCAAAAGTTAGACCATTTCTTCACATCATTTTATACAAATTAAGTCAAAGTTGAACAAAGACCTAAACTTAAAAACCAAAACTAAAAATTTATGCCAAAATAAAACAAACCTCCTCCCACAAAAAAAACCCTAGAGACAAAATTTCATAATCTATCAATTGGCATTGTTTTTCTTAAATATGACACTAAAAGCACAAGAAACAAAAGAAAAAATAGAATAACCCCAATTTTATCAAAATTAAAAATTTGTGAAGATAAAAGGCACTATCAAGAAAATGAAAAGACAACTTATCACCAAATGGGAGAAAAAGTTGCAAATCATATATCTGATAAGGGTCTAGTATACAGAATATAAAAAGAACTCTCACAAATCAATGACAAGAAGACAATACAATTTACAAAACAGGCAAAGGACTTGATCAGACATTTCTTCAAAAAATATATACACATGGCCAACAAACACAACATGAAAAAATGCTGGGGAATGCAAATCAAAACCACAGTAAGACACCACTTCATACCAACTTGAATGACTAAATAAACAAAGAGATAGTAAGAAGTGGTAATGAGGATGGAGAGAAATTAGAAATCTTACATGTTGCTAATGGGATTATAAAAATTGCATATCTGCTTTGGAAAACATTTTAGTATTGCCCTGAAATATTAAAACATAAGGTTGCCATGTGATCTAGCTCTTTATATATTCTCAATTCTTTTGAAAACTGAAAACATATGTTCATATAAAAGGCTATACACAAGGTTCATAAGAGCCCAAATAAAAGACAACTCAAAAGTTCAACAACTGGGCTGGGGATGTGGCTCAAGCGGTAGCGTACTCCCCTGGCATGCGTGCGGCCCAGGTTCAATCCTCAGCACACATACAAACAAAGATGTTGTGTCTGCCAAAAACTAAAAAATAAATATTAAAAATTCTCTCTCTCTCTCTCTCTCTTTAAAAAAAAAAGTTCAACAACTGAGAGATAGTAAAATGTAGTATATTCATAAACTGAGTATTATTTGGCAATAGGAAGGAACAAAGTGCTGATACTTAGTACAATAGGGATGAACCATGAAGAAGTTATACTAAGTAAAAGAAGTCAGATGCAAAAGGCCACACATTGTAAGATTCATTAAAATGAAATATCTATATTAGACAAATCCATGACAGAAAGAAGATTAGTGGTTGCCAGGGTCTGAGGGGTAGGGGAATGGGCAATCACTGTTAATGGGTATAAGGTTTCTGTTAGGAATGATGAAAAAGTTCTGAAACTAGACAGTAGTGATGGTTGCACAATACCGTGAAATTATTTAATGCTATTCAATTTTATACTTTAAAATGGTTAAAATGGAAATTTATGCTATGTGTATATTTTATGATAAAACTACATACGTTTGTTGAAAAATGTTTCTCAAGATATAAATATATACTTATAGGTACATTTGGCTTGAACAGCAGAATTCATAAGTGGAAAAACTGAGGCAATAAGATACAGTTCAATAAAGATTGCTAGTATTATACTAGTTGTTCAGATTGATGTGCTTTGTCTGTAGTCATGATAATAGTGCCCCAAAATGTCTAAGACTATCCAATGTGAGTACTCTTTGTCTCTAAAATGACTGAAATATAATGTGAAAAGCACTGAAGAAAAATAGGGGAGTGACATCATGGACAATGGCCAACTAGGGTACTTAAAGAATCAGTCTGTCCATAGAAACAACCATAAACCTAGAAAGACTGGTAGAACCAAAAAAACTATTTTGAACCCTGTAATCCAATCCAAATTTATAGCAAGCTGACTAATGACTAATGAAGAAACGGGTGGATAAAATTCACTGATAAAATGTTGGGGTACTTTTACCTGTTTAATTATCATTCATTATTGTTGGACTGTATAAGTGACTTTGGGTATGGTGGCTGGCATTCCTAGTGTGGTCTGCTGGTATCAGGGGATGCATATGGACCTTATTCTTAAAATACTGTGGTATGTGATTGAACCTGTCTCAAGGTTCACAAAAAGACGACTTTTCTTTTGCTCTCTTCCCCTTGGATTGGAGCAACATTCCTGGTAACAGAACATCTGTCAAAAGATTTAAATATATATACCTCCCCCCATCTACCTGGATTAAGGGATGAAAGATGTAAAAAATAGCAGATAAAATTCAAAAGGTTGGAAAGTAGGAGGCTGGTAAGAATAGTTCTTTGAGCAGTAAAAACTCAAAGGGCCACTGTACCATAGTATATTTCTAGGAAACTGGCATACAATGCACATGCCCAGGATGGAAGCATGCTCAGAAAAGACAAGAGGACTCTAGGCTATGGTCTCTGGCAGGACTGTAAGCACTGCAGGAGCAGCAGCTGAAGGCTAGGTGAGAGTTTCCAGAAGTCTGGCTCAGTGTTCAAGGAGTGCTCCGTCTCAGAGCCAAGTTGCAAAGAGTAGGATAACACTATTGTTCTTCTTTTGGGTCTAGACATATATGGAAATCTCGGACCACTAAGATAACAAAGCAGAAATTTAGTACCTATATACCACATGGATCTATATTCCTTTAGTAAATAGTTTGAAAAAGTCACTAAAGAAATGGATGGTTGCATGGCTTCAGCAGAAACTATTCCTGAGGAATCCTAGATACTGGACTGACTAGACAAAGACTTTAAATCAACTATCTTAAGAGAATTAAAGGAAATCATGAATAAAGAATTAAAACAAAACAAATCAAAATCAAACCAAAAAACTCTTAGCAAAATGATGTATGAACAAAATGAGAATATCAATAAAGAGACAGAAAATTACAAAAAGGGACCAAACAGGGCTGGGGATATAGCTCAGTTGGTAGAGTGCTTGCCTCGCATGCAAAAGGCCCTGGGTTCAATCCCCAGCAACACAGTGGGGTGGGGGGAGGAGGAACCAAACAAAAAAAGATGAAAAGCATAATAGCTGAAATGAAAACCTCACTACAGAGGTTCAAAAACAGATCTAAGCAGGCAGAAGAAAGAATCAGAGAAGCTGAGGAAGGACAACTTTGAAATTAATTCAGTCTGAGAAGAAAGGAAAAAGAATGAAGAAAAGTGAACAGATGGGGGCCCATCAAGAGTACCAACATAGATGGAATAGAGAGAGAGTTGAGCAGAAAGATATTTGAAGAAATGACTGAAAACTTCAAATCTAATAAATGACCTAAGTCTACATATATGATATATAAGTAGAATAAACTGAAAGAGACCCACATCAAGACAAATTATTATCAAGCTAATGAAAGCCAAAAACAGATATCTTGCAGGTAGCAAGAGAGAAATGATTCCTGAGTAAAAATGATCCTAAATAAGAATAACAGCTGACTTCTCATCAAAATCATGAAGGCCAGAAGTCAGCAGAATGATACAGTTCAAATGCTGAAAGAAAAACTTTGCCAACCAAGAATTTTATACTGGCAAACGATCCTTTCAAAATTAAAAAGAAATTAAGATATTCCTAGATAAACAAAAGCCAAGATAGCATATCGCTAGAAGGTTTGATATATACATATATAGAGAGAACGTCCTTTATGCTGAAAAGAAAGAAAACTAGATATAGATAGTAACTTGTACCCATATGAAGAAATAAAGACTCATATTTAAAGTAAAGGCAACTACATGGAATACTATTTCACATATGCTAAGATGGCTAAATTAATAAAATAACATATGGAAAAGAACATATCACCCAGCAATTCCTCTTGCAGGTATATAGACAAAAGAGTTGAAAAATGGTATATGCTGAGGAGCACTACTCACATAGCCAAAGGGTAAAAAGAGCCCAAATGTCTGTGGATGGATGAATGAAAAATTAAATTGTAGCACATACATATAATGGATTAGTATTCACTCTCTGTGAAGAATAAAGTACTGATACAAGCTACAATGTGGATACATCTCAAAAATATGAAAGAATTTGAAAGATCACATATTGTATAATTCCATTCATGAAATATTTAGAATGGGCAAATTCATAAGAGAAAGGAGAGTGATGGCTGTCAGGTGCTAGAGGGAAAAGAAAACGAGGAGAAATAGCTTAATAGTTATAGGTTTTACTTTTGGTATAATGAAAATGTGTAGTGAAAATGTTTTCTAAGTAAACTAGGAGTTTCCATTAATTGAACAGGAAATGTGGTAAAATGGAACAAGTTTTGCAACCTTGCAACCTGAGATATCTATTGGCTCTCCAAGTAGACAGGCTGAGTAGGCTGTAGGCAAAAGGTTGAAATTCTGAGGACAAATTTTAGCTGGAAACATGACCTAAGATCTACTAATGACTACTAATCAGCATCCCTGATTGCACCCCTGAAAATTGTATTCACACATATCCAACTGTCTGCTTATTATCCATACTTAAATATCTAGTAGGAACATCAAACTTAACTTGTTCCTAATAAAACTTTTGATTTTCTTCTAATCCTAAATCTACAGTAGTCTTACTTAGCTCAGAAAATGGTATCCTTGTTTCACCTTTTCTTGATTCCTCTTTTTTACTTCGCATTGAGGTATAATCCATAAACAAGTTCTATCAGTTCTGTTTTCAGTGATCCAATACCTGACCCTTTTCTCTATTTTTATCCTGGTTTAAGTCATACTTATCTTGCACCTGTACTCTTATTAAAGCATCTTATACTTGTCTCTTTCAAAGCCAGGCCAACTAAAATTTATCCTGTTATGTAGCAGCCATGATGATTTTTTGAAACATCAATCAGATGGTATGTGGTATATGAATTAGATCATAACTGAATATTAAAGTAGATAGTCAATACTTATTGAATAAATACTTGAATGAATAAACTCTAAAGTAAGGTTGGCAAACTTTTCCAGTAAAAGGCATGAGAATAAATATTCTCATTTTTGCTGCTATATATGGTCTCTGTTGTTACTATTCAACTTTATCATCATGGTACAAAAGCTGTCGCAGACAATCACAGACAAAACATTAAGTGAATGAGCAAGACTGTATTCCAATAAGATTTATTCACAAAAATTGGAGCTAGGGTAGTTTAGATGATTTCTGCTGTAGAATTTAAATACTATAACACTATTGGTATCATTATCAGAATAAAATATATCACCAATATAAAAAGTCATTATTAGAATAAAATGAATTCCTTATCTTGGCTTATAGGATCTTATAAGACCTGACCCACATCTGTCTCTTTTCTTCCTCTTTATCACCTACTACTTTCTTATTTACTTTAGGAAATGCCTTTTGTAATTTTCTCAAACTAAGCTTTTCCCCTCCCCAGGCTTTTGTTATTTGCTGTTATCTCTGCCAGAAATGCTCTTTATCCACATCTTTGCATAGGTCATTCTTCACAGGTTCTCTTAAGAAAATTCACAAAAGAATCTACCTTCTTCTCTATTCACCATGATTTTTTCATAACATCAGTATCTGAATAACACTTTTTTTGTTTGTTTATCTCTGTATTTCTATAAAAGAAAATTTTATTTATCTTGTTATTTTATCCTTAGTGCTTAATATAAGGACTCATAAATAGTAGATAGGCATCTACTTAATAAATATCCGCTAGATAAATGAATGGAAATAAAAATATTTTATACATATAAAATGCTATTCAAAAGCAGCCCCCACAATACCACTGGAGAGAAAAATAGTAAGAGAAAGACCTAAGTAGGGTGCAGTAGAAATATCACTGGCCTGCAAGGATGTTTTCAGAATTAATGTGGTAATACAGAAAAGAAATAAATTTGGATTAATGTTGGTGCAATTTTTTTTATTTCTATTGTAATGATTTGTAGTGTTTAAGATGATTCTATCAATGAGAAGTTTTCAGAAGCTGAATGAAACATAAGACTTTTCATTCTGATATAATTTTAGATGTAAAAATTAATTGTAAAAATAGTAGAAAAAGTTTCTATAAACTTGTCATTCCTGAAATTTGACCTTCAGAATCTGTATTTTTTGATATTTCCATTTAATTAAAGAATTAAAAGAAAAAAAGATTCAAGGCTCTAAATAATACTACAGTAGCTCAAGTAATACAGTTTCTAATATTTATTTTTATGGAATTATGTATGAGTTGGAAAAATTCAGCTTAATAGATACAAGTTCCCTGATTAAAAAGCAATGTAAACTAATGACCAAATGCATCAAGTCCTTTTTTTTTCTCATTCCTTAGGGGACTTACAGAATTGTTAACATTGTCACAGTGTATCCATTCTAAACAAGTCAAACATTTGCAAGTTTTTCTTGAAAAGATTAACCTGATCCTTCTATAAACACAAACAGAGGCAATATGTCCAAAACATCCCATGCTTAAAAGGGTACTTGTGACACCAGTTCTATTTGGTTGCAATGATGCGTTCAAATACCACTAGATAATGCAACTGCTCAGTAGTGCTGACAACACATTTGTTACTAAACAAATAGACAACCAGTTGTCTCAGGTTCTTAACCATTCATGCCTTCCAAACTCTTTGAAAAGCCTCACTTCAACTGCAGATAAGATCACTCACTCATCAACAGCAGTCTTCAAATGACCTTTTATTAAGGGTGTTATAGAAATGAATGGTGTGTGAGATAAATGACGTCAATATAAACTGTTTTGAAGTGATGTTCATGTACTAGTCAAAGCATACAAGTCAGCAGAATTCTCTTGAAAAATAATATTCTTAATTTGAATAAAACAACTTCTAATAGCTTTAAAGGTTTTTAGCATACCTAAAACAAATATATGGGTATCTACCTGGAATTTAAAATTAATTTTTTAAAATTTGGAGAGAACACTTGGGACACAGAAGAATAAAATTTATCCAAAATATCTTTGATTCACAGAGGAGAAAGAAAACCAACAAAAGAGGTATTTTATAGACCTATATAATTACAAGATAATGTATATATCAAAATAAATACAGTGAATTAGATACCTTTTCTTCAGGTATACTGTAACGCACATTTTCCAAAAATACTGATGTATTTTCCACATTTGTATATCGTAGAAGAATATGAGCAAAATCTTCTTCACTGATGGTATTCATTCCATTAGAGTAGGAAAGGAATTCTATTTCTAGAACTTCTGTTTGAAGGTTATCCATGAATCTATGATAAAGTACAATAAAAAATGATCAAAAGCAATGATCAAATGTTCACTGTCCTAGAAAAAATTATTTGGAAATAAGTTAATTAAATGATGACTCAAAGCTTTATGAAAATCCTCTTGGTAAATGGGAAAGAAAAAAGGATAAGTTATAAGAGGTTTTATCACTCAATGACTGTAGCACCTGGGGCAAATAACCTCTCAGGGCTTAAGTTTCCCCATTTGTACAGTGGAGATAATACACATACCTTGCAGAGTGGTGATGATACTTAAATTGCTTAATACTACTGTGGCTTATTGAGACGAAGGTATGGGTGTATACTTCTGGACATATAGGTGATAACAATAAAGATATGAAGACATTTTGATCTTTCAACAACTTCCTGTCACAATTATCAATATAACACTGTATAAAGGTATTAGTGGAAGTGGATAATATAAAGAGTATCTTCAGTTAAGATGAGAGTAGCAAATGATATCACTGCACTAGATGATTTCTAATGACATTAACATTCTAACAATTTTTTTTAAAGAGAAAGAGAGAGAGAGAGAGAGAGAGAGAGAGAGAGAGAGAGAATTTTTTAATATTTATTTTTTAGTTTTCGGTGGACACAACATCTTTATTTTTTTATGTGGTGCTGAGGATCGAACCCAGTGCCCCAAGCATGCCAGGTGAGCGTGCTACCGCTTGAGCCACATCCCCAGCCCAAAATTCTAACAATTTTAAGTAAAAATTAAGCTCACCTATAAAAATCTTCAAAGTTCAGCTCAGCTTTTCCTTTCTTTCCAAAAAAGTGTACAAGAAGTGTAGTATCTGCTACTAAACTTGTGATGTCATCAGCACGCTTAAAAAAAAATCACAATTTAAAAGGTAATTGCAATTAAAAAGATAAATTAAAATTCCTCAAAGAATTTTATCAACATATAAATATCAAGAATGCAATGGTAAGAACATTAGAATGAGAAATGTAGGCTATATTAATAAATGTAATTACAGTTAAAAGGAAGTTCAAATTTTAAAAACAAAACTTTTAACAAAACTGATTTTTATCCCCCCCAAATGTTCAAGACATGACAATATTTAAGAAGCTTTTAATCTCAAATTATGTCTATAGGGTATGTACTTTAAATTATCTGAGATAGTTTAAATCCTTTAGTAATCATCTAAGTATACTATTTTTATTTCAGTAATTTGATTTGGATTTTCCTGTTTAATTTGAAAAATCCATTTTTTACAGGTGGTCAAAAGAGGTAAATTTTTGTGAGTGTATTGCAGACACAGAACTGACATGACTCCAAACTTCCTAAAACATTCTTTTAAGCAGAATACTGTCCTATTAAATAACAGTGATATTTTAAATAGATGATATTATATTTTGAAACTACAGTGATAATATATCTTGGAATTTAAATAATTTTTTCAAAGGTTTAAAAAAAGGGTTTACATGATTTCCTTGAATCTCTCACAAGTTAATACTAGAGGATTTTCCCCTTTCTATACAACTTAGTAAACTAAGTTCCAACATATGTTTTCTTCAAACCGCTTGATCATATTCCTTACAAAGTTCAATGGCTACAGAAATTTCCTTCTTTAAAGCATTATAGGTCTCTCTTTTTCCTCCTTCCCTCCCTCCCTCTCTTCCTTCTTCACATAGACATTAATTCATACCTATTTTTATAAACTCAGGTACAAAAATCATAAAATTCAAATGAATGTAACTCTCCTACATAGCATCCTAGGAAATGTAAGAAACATAAGAGGTTAAATCATTTTCTATATTAAAAAAATCACTGCAGATATTCACTAAAGATACACAGTTGAAATGTGTCACTTCTCAGCCATAATACTGATAGTACTCCACAATAGGACATAAGGAAAAACAAAAACAAAAACAAAAAAACTTCTCTACAAAGAACTCGTTTTCTACTGTCCCTGACAAAAAGTCTTATTTCACCCACCTCTACACAATAAAATTTGGTATTTGATTCCTCACAACCCTCTTTCCAATCTTTCATGAACACAGCTATTTTATCCTTTAAAATTGGTTGGATCTTTATTTCCTTTCTCCCTGAATCATTTTTTTTCTTTTAGCAGAGATCACACATTCTGATCTCCCTTCTAACATGTACTTCTATTAATGCACTAAACTATTTTTCTACAGTGATTTCTCTGCTACTTTGATTACCTATGTCTCTGTCCTAAGACTTCTCAATAGTTGGAATATTTGAGAAGTTTCTTAATAACACTATCAACTTCTTTGAAGGACTGTTAGCAGTTTGATCTGTTGGTAGAAGAAAAATAATATAGGCAGGTAGTCAAGTGCAACATACTATTTTTTTAAATATATCTTCTTAACAAAATATATTCTGAATGGTGAAGAATAAGAGTGGAAGAACCAGCCTTTCAGTGATATGTATGTAAAGGAGAGTACAATTTGAGTTCCCCTGGAAAGGTGCCATTTCACCAGTAGCTTTAAGTCCTTTAAGTCGAGAAGGCTAGACTGCTCTAAAAACAAACAAACAAACAACAACAACAAAAAAAGCCAGGATTTAGAATCAAAATTTTTGTTTCATTAACTTTTTTGATCCTCGGCTTCATTATCTGTTAAATGGGGATACTTTTTATCTATAATAACAAGTTTGTGGATAAAATTAAAATAGGAATGTAAAAGAAAAAAAATCACACAGATGTTCCTATTGGTAGCCATAAGATACAGATAGCATTGGGGAGGGGGAGATACCTGATGTTAACTATAGACTCTCTTTTATGATTTACATATCTAGATTGTTCACTTTATAATCCTTCAAACAAATAAACAGGGGAAGAAAATATCTCTGAAGGCATGCTTAAGTGAAGCATGAGAGGAGGTGCTAAACAGTCTGCATGAAAAACCAGGGTATTTGTCTTGAAGCTAGAAAAATGGATCAGGAGAAAAGAGGACAAAGTGTGTAAAGGGTAAGAAGAGGTATTTTTCCAAAAGTTGCTTATTTCAGAAATAAGCAGTAGTGTGGTGAGCAAATTAGATGATGAGTTCCAGAGTCAGATGGCTGGCACTGAATAATGACACTTCTCATTATTTAAGTGACCCTGGGGAAGTTAACCTCCCTGAGGACATTATTATCTTCAGGAATAGTAACAGTACGTATTCTAAAAAGTTGTTCAAAAGCTAGATAACACATATAAATATTTTACCACTGTGACAAGCACACTGTAAATATTCAATAAATGTTAGCTATTATTATTTATTTTTTCCAAATAAATATATTTCAAGAAGTTCAAAAAGGATTAGACACAACAAAAAATTGAAAATACCTAGAATATGGAACATTCTTCTTTTTTGTCACTGAAAGCACATGCTATATAGATATAAAAAAATAGCTTAAAAATGAGAGGTCCCAGAAACACCAAAAACTAGTGAATTCAAATAATATAACTAAGGAACATCTTTCTCTGGTGTTGTGAAGTCATTTACTATAAGTCATTTACTATAAGACATAGCACACTGAAATGAGATGGCTTGGTTTTATACAGGCTTGAAATAATGACCTCACTTGGCCAGTTCTCATGCCCACTGAGTAGATCACATCTTAAAATGTTTCAGCATTAAAATCTTATTAGATTCAGGTTACACTTATCCAATAATCCAGATCCACAGAGGCATAAGTAACAGTTTGATGTTAGAGAAAAAAAAATTAGAAAATGGAAATAGGGAAAGCTTGTTTCCCCATTTAGTGAAACAGAGTACTGCTTGTAGTCACTGAAAACTACACCATTGTCCTTGGTATCCTACCAGTGTTACATAACGAAAAGTACAAGAGACTTAACAAATAATAAAGACTTTATCCCCTTGATTCTTATGTTCATTGCTAAAATAAAATAAATTCAGGTGTTTTCATAACAAAGCCAGGAAAAGTCACAAAAGAATCCAATGGGCCATTTACATGAAAGGCTATTATCTAATTTTGTTTTGATTAAAAATTATTTTAGGCTGAGGTGTAGCTCAGTTAGTGATAGAGTTCTTGCTTAGCATTGATTAGACCCTGGGTTCAATTCTCAGCAAACAAAGTAAATAATTTTAAGTGATCAAATAAAAAAATGAAATAAATTTGTACAAAATACAATTGATTCAACTATTAAAATAATGAACTGTAGATAGCCTTTCAACATCTTTTCATCTATTATAGTGTGATAAGTTCTATCTAAGGGCTGAAGGAAATCTTCAAACTATTGCTTTAATTTTGTTTTTAAATAATTTATTAAAACTTAGTAAGAATTGGGCTGGGGATGTGGCTCAAGCGGTAGCGTGCTCTCCTGGCATGAGTGGGGCACTGGGTTCGATCCTCAGCACCACATAAAAATAAAAAAATAAAGATGTTGTGTCCACCGAAAACTAAAAAATAAATATTAAAAAATTCTCTCTCTCTCTCTTAAAAAAACTTAGTAAGAATAAGTAAAGTTTAAGGCAAGTAAGAAAAATTTAGATTTCCTCTGTAATACTCAAAATAGTGTTGATAATTCTGGTAGTGACAGAGACTGTATTCAGCATGTTACATGATAATGCTTATATTGAACTCTGAATTTATAATATGAGATTTTGGTTAGAAAGTAGTATCAGCTGTGTCATGAAAATTTTCTTCATATGATTTTACAAAAACTTTAAAAAGGGTGTTTTAAGACCACTTTTAAGGTACCAAAGATATGTTGAAAATTGTTAAGCCAGAAGGAGGTATAGAATTAGTTCTGGGAAGTTGTAAAAGCCAGTGCCAGCATACTTCTGATAGAACCATAAACATTTTCCAGTACTCTCACACAAATCATAATCCTCTGAGTATACAAGACCTGACTGCTCTTCTGATATAACGTTTCCTAATATTTAAATTAAATTCAAAATCTAATTAGCAGATTTTATCTGTCAGAATTTTAGCAGTTAGATAGGATTAAAGAAAGGCTGGAAATTGGGAGGTAGACACTCTAGTATGGGGGGAGACAATAGGGACATGACTATTAATTTGAAGCCTGGAAGCTTGGCCACAGTTACTTGGCTTTTAGGGACTTACAGAGGTAGTGTTCCCAGTTACTCTTATTTTTAAATAAGTACAACTACTCTGTCCTACTTAAATGATTATAAAATAAAGTATTTCTAAGATATATGTGAATAGAATATCTTCCACTTCATACCTAAACATGACTCAAATTTAAAAGGTAATTATATGAGGTAATAAATGGTGATAATTACATCATATTTATATATTACAGATTAAGCATAGGAAAAATGTATAATTTATTTGTTTTGGGATTTAAAATTGAGCAGAAATGACAAAATTCCCCTAGTTTGGCATCCATCCCTGAATGCCAAATTGAGTAACACTATAAAGATGAATAATGGAATATAACACATATCACAACTAAGCCAGGCACAGTGGCACACCCCTGCCATGCCAGCTACTTGTGAGGCTGAGGCAGGAGGATCCTTTGAGCCCAGGAATTGGTGAGATTCCAACAAAAAAAAAAAAAAAAAAAAAAAGGCATTACAATTGATGTTTGCGGTTTCCTTCTCTATAATTTTTAGGAGTAATTTTTAAAAATCAAATTTAAAGTTTAGAAAAAAGAAATGAGAAGAAAACTTTTAAAGAGAAAAAGGTAATGAAAAACAAATCTCTTAGTATTTGCCAAGAAGTCCTTTCCAGTAAGATGATAGATTTTTGTTTGTTTTTGCAGCTTGGGGATCCAACCCAGGGCCTGCCTTGTACATGCTAGCAAAGGGCTCCACTGCTGAACTACAATCCTAATGTACTCTAAAAAAGTGCTTTTACAAAATCTTTACTTAAAACATCTTGAGTTTTAAGTGTAAAAATTCTTAATAGTAAACATAAGACAGTATTTAATCTTTAAGACACAGCCCATCCTTTAAAATTAAAATCTCTATTGACTGTGGCTTAACAAAAGTGGGGTGTGGTAGAAGCAGCCTACCCTATGTGCAGCAGTAAGGTATGTGTCAGTATTAAATTAAAAAATGATAATAAAACTAAAATAGGGTCAGTCTGTTTTTCTTTTGATTTTTCAAACAGTTTTATTCTCACACAATTCTGAGACATTTCCTTTTTTAAAAAACGTACACAGGGAACACGATTTTTTAATGCAAACAATAACTTCCCTGTCTCAACTACATGGAAAGCAAGTGGCATCACTGTTGTCAGGAGGGTCACAGGAAGACTGGCTGCCAGGTGCTGGGGTCACCTTGTGTCACTCCCAGGGTCCCAGAGTGAGAAGGTCACTTTCACCCTAGGCACAGACGCATGGCCAAGCCTGCTTGGCGAGGAACATTGCTCTGGCCTCCCCTACCACCTCATGACCTGCATAGCCCACATCCCCAAGCAGATCTACTCCAGATAGAAGCAGATCTGACTCCCACCCCCCAACCCCCTACCACTACCTGCACAATGAACATTTTGCTGGAAGGACAGGAAGCAGCACATGAAATCAGACAGGAAATCACTTTTGGTGACAATGTGCTGCAGCTAGCCCACTGCCATGTTTTGAGGATTGAGGCCAGAATGCCTGGTGGAGGCGCAGTTTGTTTTTTTATTTTCACCATGCACTGGCAATCTTAAATAATGCAAAGTAAATTATTCCTTTCTTTCTTTATTGACTGTTCTGACCACACACTGTTTCCTTTTAATTAAGTTGGCAAGTCATGTTTTAACAAGAAGGAAATTCATTTAACACAGACAACTGTAGGTTGTCTTGCAGCCCTTGTCAGCACAGCTGACATTCAAATAGTTTACATGTAGTAATTAATACTTTACTGAATAAAAAAATATTGTACATTTGTTGTTTCATCCTGTGACTCTAAAACAAAATGAAGACTAGATTTAACAAAATGACAAATAGTACAAGGACCTTGTTGAGGTTTAATTATACCTCTGCGAGATCTGAAAACAATGCTTGGCTTGTGTTACGTCTCAGTGTATCCCAATAGCTTCTGGAGACAAGTTCCTCAGTATCTGTTTTCAGTACCTATAGAAATTTTAAGAAGCACAACTGAAATCTAAAGAATAGTTACAAAGAATGACAATTATATACTCTAAGTCTTTCTAACTGACCTTAAAAGAAAACACATTAGCTTACCTTTTTTGTTTTCTGCTGCATACAACAGTATTAAATTACACTGCTAGTAAACTCATAGTGCTTTCAAAGGTGTACTAGCATATAGCTGCTGTTTCTAAGTTCAACGTGGTTTTGTCAAAAAGAGTCAATTTCTCCAATTCCTCCCTTTGCCCTTCTACTGAGACATGAAAAACTTCTAAGAAAATACAAAAATACTATTCACCCTGTATCCCCACTATTTTGGAAGCTGAGGCAGGAGGAATCCAAGTTCAAGGACAGCCTCAGTGACTTAGCAAGATCCCATCTCTAAATCAAAAATTATAAAAAGGCTGGGAATCTGGCTCAGTGACAGAATATACCTGGGTTCAATCCCCCCACTAAAAAAATTTTTATTCATAACCTAGTATGAAGTAAATTCATACATAGAAGATTTTGGTAAGTTTGTAGTGACCTATTATATTATATTATACTTCATTTAAAAATTATTTTTGGCTCTCATACATTATCTTATCAATGTACCAAAAGGAAAATATCTTATCATATACTTTGGAGAAACAAAGTTTAAATTAATTCAATGCTTGTTAAAAAGAAATATACCTGTTTAAGTTGACTGCCTCAAAACCACTCAGCAATTTTGTAGGTATGTCTATTGTGAATGGATAAGGCACTCTCTAATCTTTATTACAAGTATCAAACACTAGCTTTTAACTCAGTACTGGTTAGTAAGAAGATACCAAGATTAAAAAGTATTATAATCTTCCTATGAAAATGCTGGACTGCAAGCTGAACTTGAATCTCTAAACAAAAAATAATTAAAATCAGGATGGGAGCTGGGGATGTGGCTCAAGTGGAAGGGCACTCGCCTGGCATGTGCGGGGCGCCGGGTTCAATCCTCAACACCACTTAAAAAAAATTAAAAAAATAAAGATATTGTGTACACCTAAAAAAACTAAAAAAATACACATTTAAAAAAATCAGGATGTATCAGGGAAGATTACATGGTTTTCAGGTGAGGCAATTTTTTGGTTATTGACAGAAGAAAATGTACCATATTGTACTTAGGTGAGACATGTGAGAACTTTACTTATTTTTTTGGTCTTAATTTTTAAAAGTCTAGAGTCAGCAGAGCATGGTGGCATACAACTGCAGTACTAGATACTTTGGAGGGTGTGGCAGAAGGATCCCTTGAGCCCAGGAGTTCCAGGTCAGCCTGGGAAAGACAGCAAAAGACTGTCTCAAAATAAATAGATAGATAGATAGATAGATAGATAAAAATAAAAGTGGGTACCATTAATAAAACTGTAGTGCAGTTTTATAGTGTTGTGTAGGAATTATTTCAAAGATCGTCTTTAATTTTAATTAGCTGCCTACTACTCACAATTTAATAAAATGTCAATAAAATGTTAACACAGACATAAGTGTTACCATAAGTAATAACTGTGGCAACATGAGAGAAAATCTGCCCATCACTACCTTTTCTAACTAAATAAGCATTAACTAAGTAGTTACAAACTAAACAGGTAAAATTAGCAAAACATTGAACTAACACGGTTCATTTTCTTTTAGTAGGTTTGAAATAACCTCAATAGATACTAATGAATATGAATGCATTTTTAATTATAATTGTAATTTAGAAGGTTAATACAAGATTTTAAAAACAGGATTGTAAAACCTATCAAAATAGAAAATAAGGCTTACTATACACTATTATTAGAATAATAGAAATGATTCCTTTTATAAACTCACATCTTTTCCATATTCCCAAATACTAGTCACCAACACACACATGCACACACACACACACATACAGACACACACAAATATTTAAAACATTAGGAGATAAAGCAAATATAAAGATTTTCTTACTCTTCATATTTTAAAAATATATGTTTACCAGGATAATATGCAAGTTTTTTAAAATCAAAAAGATGTTTAGAATATAACAGCTCAATAAGTCTCCTCCTACAGAAAGCTTTATACTTATCACTTCGCTCCAGAGACTAAATTATGCTAGAATATAACTGAATTGCTATAACTGGATATATTTGTTTTTGTTTTATCTTACACCATCTTTCAAATTATAAAGGTTCTGAGGGCAGGGACAATATACTTGTAGCAACTATTGCTGCAGAAAGAAAAGCTAATGAATCATTGTAATCTGTTAGCCATATTCATTAATTCCTAAATATTTGCTTATTCTGGAGCTAGTACTTAATATTTTAATTGATAACTTGGGTAATGAAATTAAGTATATTTCAGAATATGCAAAACTAATAGAAAACTGTAACGTGAGGAAAATATAATAGTATATTTAAAATAAGGTTAAAGTAGCAATGAAAATAAAACTGGAATTTAATAGCAAGAAAAACAAAGTAAAAATATGCAACCAAAATATATACAAATAGACTAAGAGAAAAAATGAAGGGAAAATGTCCAAATGTAATTGAGCACTGTGATGATTAGGAAATAGATAAATATGATGCTCTGCAATGTAAATAGAGAGCAATTTGCAAAGACTTCCAGAAGTCTACTCATTATCTTTGATCTAACCTTTGGCTCCTTTATCAGCGGGTCATGTTAGTGTAGACTTTCATTTAAAAGGAAAAAAAAAAGACATACATATAGTTCAGAATAATTTAGAAAATGGATGGCACAGGCAATATGATGTCCTGAATGTACTGTACCCTGAAAGTGTGATACATTTTCTGCTTGAGTTCTGAGACTGTTATTGGTAAAACTCCCTTAAATTTGCAGTTTTGGTCAAGATTTCTTTATGCCTTTTTAGCTGAGTCAAAGGAAGATCCTATTCAAGTCATCAAATGCTATCTATAATAGAAAGGAAGGTAGGCAGGCAAGAAAGGAAGGACAAAAGGGAAGGAAGGAGGGAGGAAAATAAGGAAAAAGAGGAAATTAGTAAGAAGGATTCATTTAGAGATGGCAATGTATCACTGTGGTAAGCAGAATAATGGCTTCTCAAAGTTGACCAGACAGACAAATACTCTACATAACTGTTAAGATCTGAGAAAGGTGATACTCAGATATTAGGTCAACTAAAGAAAAAAATAACAACTCAGAAGCAGACAGTAAACTGTCTTTACTATCAATGATATTTAAACACACACATACACACACACACACACACATGCATACACACACACAAATGAAAGAAAACTATACTTTTTGTGGCATTGCGACAACTGTGGACCTAAAAACAGCAATCTGACAATTGCAACTTAAAGTTGTGTAGGGCTATCATATCTCCCAGGTGTATCATGGGGAAAAACAACAGGCACAACTCTCTTTGAAAGTACACACCTTTAACAACTTAAAAAATCCTCACAAAGATACCTCCATAAATATATCCTTACAACGAAAAATTACTAAATGTTAAAGAACAAAAGCTACCATGTATGAGACACAGCAGAATAGACAAACAATGGAACCAGGTTTCAGATACTGAAATGATTAGATATATATGTATGAAAACATGAATTGGTGTGAATATACTATTTATACAACCAGAGATAGGAAAAATTGTGCTGTATTATATAATAAGAATTGTAATGCATTCTGCACTGTCATATATTAAAAAAGAGAGAGAATGCAAAGTTAGCTTTATAAGTTTAGTATGAACCTAGATTTGAAAGGATTATTTAGGAAAAGTAGACTACCAAAATTATTAGGTCTAATAGAAAAAAAACCCAAATATAATATTTAGGCATTAAAAATATCAGTACTAAATTTAAAATCAGATTATATACAGATAGAATTAATGAAGTGAAAAATAAAATGGAAGAAAAGAGTCCTCATATTTTCAAAGCTTAAAAAAACACAGATAAAAACAAATCAGAGAGATAAACTGTAGCAAAACTGTAGAAAAATAAAGGCAAAGAAGATTTAAAAGCAGTCAAAAAGGAAACAGATTACCTATGAAAGGAAAATAATTAGATTCAGGGTTTTCCTTTCAATTTCAGTAAGAGAAGCCAGAAGATGATGAAATGATATCATCTTTTGCTGAGAATAAGTAGATGTCAACTTAGAAAATATATTCAGAGAAATTATTTTTCAAAACAAGGTCAAAATAAGGATATTTTCAGAGAGGGTTATTTATTTATTATTTGGGAGTGATGCTGGGATCAAACCAGGTCCTTATGCGTGCGAGGCATATGCTCTACCACTGCACTACACTCACAGCCTGTTTTTCTTTAATTCACCAAAAGACTCTTACTTGAGAATATATTTTGTAGACATAAGTTATGAGATTTAGGAAGGAGTAAAGAATGGTAAACATGTTGGGTTCGGTGGCACATGCCTACAATCCCAGCAGTTCAGAAGGTCAAGGTGAGAGGTTCACAAATTTAAAGGCAGTCTCAGCAATTTAACAAAGTCCTGAGTAACTTAGTGAAACCCTGTCTCAAAATAAAAGATAAATAGGCTGAGTATGTGGCTTAGTGGTTAAGTGGCCCTAGGTTCAATCCCTGGTACTGGGGGCGGGTGCGGGGAGAATGGCAAACATGTAGGTAATCCAAAATATACATTGATGGCATATATTTTTTTAAAGTCTAAATTGTGGTATTAGGGGAAAAACACACTTTACAATAATTCTAAGTATTCATGCTAGGTGAGGATAAAAACTATTAAAGCAATTTAATGTTCTATTTTTGAAGAAGAAAATAATAATTCTGTCTAAGCTAAGATTTTATTATTTTAAGCATACTTACTAAAATTTCAAGAATACACCCTCCCCAAAAAATCAAATTATAGTGAATGTCTTCTTAACTTGAATAAAGAAAAAATTAAAAATAAACTTCTGTTGATTAAAAAAGGAAGAAAATGAAAAAATAGTATATTAGAAACTATAATTGTATTATAGTTTTATTTATTTATTTATTTATTTGGTACTGAGGATT